ACAGAGCTGGCCGCAGCCGCCACTTTCCGGCCCGTCGTAAAGAGGGGCGGGGCCGGCGCACTGTGGGCGGGGCCCGGCGAGCCTTTTCCTATTAGGTGCGCGGAAACTGCAGGCGTCCACGGAGTCCAGGATTGACTCTCGCAGGGCGCCAGTGGTACTTGCTGAGCGCCCACCTGTGCCAGCACTAAGCGAACCACACAGCTCCAGCCCGAAATCTGCCTGTCCCTCAGTTCTCTTTCCTAGCTCTTCACTACTTTCTCTGTGAAGAGCCCTTAGACAGCGTCGATTTCCCCTGCCCAGGGGCAGCCTTGCAGATTTGGGGATGGTCTTTCTTCTCTAAACTCCTCTTGTTTTGCCCACGACTCCTGGTTTCTAACCCCTACCCCAGGGGGTTGTCTCGTGGCCACATCCTCCTCATTGTGGTTCCTATGACTAGACTCTTCCTTTCAGGTGGTTCTTCTCTGGGCTCCCACCCTCCGTCATCCACTCATCCACTTGCTACGGAACCTTAATTTACTCATCATCTTGCTCAGGGCACACCTGACACCTTGCTGGAGTTATGGGCATTACCATTAGGAGGAATAGCCCTTTAGAGGCTCCTTTTAGCTCTTTTTTGGAGAGGTTTTTGCTATAGGGCGCGTAGCTCGCCAGAAAGTTAAGAGAAGACAGAAAGTGAGAAATCACCCACCAGGGGGCATGGCCACGCTGCAATCCCTTCTCCATTCTCCTCTCGGGATCTTGGGCGCATACACACACACACGTGCCCAGCGTGAGTTTAAGCCACCGGCTCTGGGACTGGAACCACGATCAGCTACATGGGAGTCTAGCGACATAGCCATTATGCCAACTGCTGGTCTCAGCCCTTTAGAGACTCTTATAACCTTCTTAGGTCCTGTAATTTCTTTGAAATTCAGAGTTTTTTGTTTGTTTGTTTGTTTTTTTGTTTTTTGACATCTAACAGCTTGCCTCATGCCCCAAATCCCCTTGTTACAGCAGGAGGTGCACTGGAGTCAGGAAATCTGGCATCTTGGGTCCCAAGGCTGCCCCTAACTCGTCCTTAATCTTTGAAGATTTACAGATTTACCTGCTGAAAAAATTCCCAGTCGATCAAATTCCCACACTATCTGTACCAACTTGGTTTCAGTCCTTAATGACAGTTGGTATTCTGATTTCAAAATATACATTGGAAAACTTATCTAAGGCCTGACAACTTACATCTACTTGTATTAAACTGAGGTATTTTCCTCAAACTGAAATGGCTACTGAAATATATTTATAAAAGATTTCGGGACCAGCAGTTAGTGTAATGGCTATGTCGCTGGACTACCACGTAGTCGACCGTGGTTTGAGTCCCGAACCCAGTGGCTTAAAACTCACACTGGGCGCGTGTGTGTGCGTGCCCAAGATCCCAAGAGGAGAATGGAGGAGAAGGGATTGCAGCATGGCCATCCCCCCTGGGGAGTGATTTCTTGCTTTCTATCTCTCTGTCTGTCTCTGTCTGTCTGGCGAGCGCACGCGCCCTATAGCAAAAACCTCTCCAAAAAAAAAAAAAAAGATTTCAAAAAACCCAACTGCAATGCAATTTCACACCTAAAAAATTATAGTAAAATAAAATAATCAAATATTTAGTGCACAAATTTCTTTAATGGTCCCAATTTTACATCTTTTGAATTGTGATCCAAATTGTCTATTTCAAGGGAATAGCAGTTGGTGTAATGGCTATGTAGCTGGACTCCCATGTAATCGGCCATGGTTTGAGTCCTGGACTTGGTGGCTTAAACTCATGCCAGGCACAAGTGCACGTGCCCAAGATTTTTTTTTTTTTT